AAAATACATATCTATCTTAATATGCATGCTTGATATCCTAGAACTTCTCTAAGAATTCATTTATTCGATAGTTGGATGATGATTTTATCTTGATGAGAGTTTTATTGATCAAATTAGCAAAAATGGAATAATTTTACTAGAATTAGAAATACCAGAAATAACACTATTTGTATGATCACATCTTTCAGATCTTTTTCTTATTCAGTAAAAAGTATTGCAATTTACGACATAGCATTTATACAATATGAATTAATTTTGTCATAAATGTCAATATTCGCTCTTATCATTTCGTTATTTGGAAAAATAGAAACGATAATTTTTCAAATGTTATTAACAATTAAAGGAAGCTCGCAAAATCATAAGTTAACAATGCTGAATAAGTAGCTTTTTTTTGCTTTTTATTTCTCTAAATTTTAAAATTAATAATAAAAAAGTGGCAAAAACATTGTGTTTATTTTCATAAAGCAAATTAGAGACGCGATTTTTTTTTTCACACCATTTAACCATTTTCATGCAATTTAAATTTCTTCCACTCGGACCAGTGCATTTTTCTGTCAGTGAAATGAGTAATGTGAACTTTTGCATGAAAGAACATGATTTTGCGTCACTTGTAAATATCATGAAATATGAATTTATGAAGTTATTTGTCCAGATATTGACATAAAACAACTGTTGTTTCAACAAAATTACCATTTAATTTTCTAAATCGAATATTGTAGCTAGATTTATTAGTTACAAAAGGGGCAAACCGGATATCATTTCAGATCTTTCTTTTGAAACTTGACTTTCCGTATTTCTAAGCAACATTTTCGAAAAGATTAAAATGATGCTTGTGATGAAAATGATATTGTAGCAAATAAAGATAATATTTGTTTTTTACTAGTAAAAGTGATATCTGTTATACGGCTACGATCGGCACCACTTGTACGATAGTTGTTTATTTACTTTTTTTGATTCACTGGTTTATAATTTATCTGATCCTTCCATATCCATTAATAATTTATTGATGATTACAAACTGATGTAATTATACGTTTAATAAGAAGTTTCAAGAAAATGTCTCTTCTTATTTATCATAATTTTTACTCATATTTCATTCATTATTATTACCCTTTTTTCATTCATTTAAATTATCTACTGTAAATATTACCATCATTTAAAAGTTTTACATCCACGTCATTGAGAGACAGATGATCCATGCTGGAAGTTGAATTTTTTCAACTTCGAGGTTTTGAAACTTATAGAGTATAATACTATGAACTTTTTTTTACAACACTAAACAATTTATCAAGGATAAGAATGAGCCAAAGCTCTACTTATAGGATAAAATTTAGGAAAGAGATACGAATAGTGATAATTTGTAGTTTCTAAAAGGCATTGATTTGATGATAATTATGCGGAAAAAATTTAACAGTAATTAAATTTAAACATTTTCAGCACTCTGACATCTATTCCATTGTATTTCTAAAAATTTAAACACTGAATTAAATGTGGTTTTTTGCATTTTAACATTTGCTTTGATAGGTGACAATGTACCAATAAATGGCAATTAGCAAAATTTTTGACTTTATAATTATATGAAAACTGTGTTTTACTTTATGATTGTTCATGTTTTATCAGGTTTAATGTTATTAAATCCATGTATTATTCAAAAAATTTTTCAATTACCATTTATTTCGAACAAAAAATAGTGTAAATTGATGTCAATCAAAATTTAATAAAAATGTTTGAATTCAATTGAATGTTATCAGGACGAGCTTTAAATAATCAGAATTTATTATTTCATATACAAAATTATTAGATAACAATTTTGCGTGCACAAAAGAAAGAAAGAGAAATATGCAGTATGCCAATATAATCAAATGTAATTGATCTTGCTATATCAAATTTTATGATAATTCGGTATTTATGGTATTATTTTATGATATTTCGGTAATTTACGCTTAGTTAGATAAGCTATTGAAGGCTTTCGTAGTGAAACTTTCATGCATTTTGGATAAAATTTTGGCTGATTTAAAAAAACATTGAAAAATTCATCTCACGAATGATAAGCAGACAGATACTAAAATATATTTATATTATAATTTAATCCGAATTTGTTGCAAAGTTTTAAAATGAAGAGAAGCATGTGTATCCGACGAGAAAAAATCATATATATATATATATTATTTTTGATCAGTATATATTGTAGTGCTAAATTTGTTTCGATTTGTACCAAATTGCTTTGAAATTGATTTATCCTTCTATTTCCGATTATTGTGAATTCAGCTTAATTATCATCAATCTCCATTCGACTACTGCGAATTCATCCTGGTTACTGTAAATTCTTTCTGATTGTCGTCAGTTCAG